TTATGTCTTATAAACGGTTAATATAACCAACAGTAGTCATCATCATCACAGTAAAGAAACAACAACAATAAATAGTTTTTCTTTAGTCTTGACTTTACGCCGATAAACGATGAAAATTGAATAAAATATGGTTGAAATTATTTCGTCTTTTCTGTTGGCAATGTATGGTGATATTATTGTACAGATAATACGAAAAATTAGTTAAAAATAAAACAAGAGGAAGAAGCAAAAAAATGATGTTTGTCCATCGAAAAACGAGTGTATAGTATATATAATAATACTTGACGTTCGAGTATCCCCTATTACAAAAAAAATCTCAATGAAAACACATATCCATGGTTTTATTATTATACTCTCCTTCTCTTTAAAAAGTCTTTTTCTTTTTACAGCAACAGCCGCAGTAATATAGTGCAATTTTCTTTTTACTTTTTCTTCTGCTCTCTTTTTTTTAATTGTCGAGTGAGTTGTTGCTACTGTATGCGCTAAATAGTTGAAATCCTATAAAGTGTAATAAATATTTGAACATTTGAAAGTGAATACAAACAACAAAGAAAGAGAGAAAAACTACTGAAGATCAATTAAAGTCGAATTTTACCAGTATTAAAGTTGTTCAAATTTGAAAAAGTATATAGTCTGGTAAGCGTAGATCAGTTCTGAAGAGATTAATAAGATCTGTTAAAAACATCGAATCTTAACAAAAAAATTAATCATATAAGGATTAAAACTGATTGTTAATTAATAAACTACCGAGATCCATACCGGAACCACTGTAGATAACGACAAAGCGGAGAAATGGTTAAGAGATGGAATACGACATTTTTGAGTTTTTTACCCGAGACTAGAAGCCGATTAATAGGATTAATTTGACTTTTAAAAATGACGCTACTTTTCGATGTCTCGTAATTGGTATCAAAAGCGTTGAACTGGATAAAAAAACAAGTTTAATAGCAGTTTCTATTTATTTAGAGAGAACTTATCGGTAAAAAAAATGATTTACAGAATTCTTGATGCTATTCGTCATAACCAATATAAACAACTTGCCCTATACATTCGTCATAACTACGATTTAAACGTTAAAACAAAAGATGGACGAAATGGTCTCTTCATTGCTTTGGACATACAAGAACCGATTAAACGAACACGTATGTTAAAATTTTTATTGGATAACGGTCTGAATCCTACTCATATTGAATACAATTACGGTTACACTGTACTAAACGAAGCGATCTATCGTCAACAAATAGATTCTGTCAATTTATTATTAGCCTATTTTGGTGGAGAAGTCGATTTTAGACGCTATGATCATAGGGGACGAACAATTCTTCATCAAGCGGTTGAAACAAATAATCCATCTATTCTTGAATCTCTTATTAATGTCATGAATCATTACAGAATCTCGGTTGATATACTAGATGAAAATGGTCTTACACCGTACCTTCTTGCCACAAAACTTCATTTACGTGAAATGGCGAATATTTTAGTAAAAAAAGGTCGTGCTAGTCGACAGCAGTCAGATGCAAAATTGCATAAAAATGCCAACGATTGGGAACTTGAGGGTATTGAAGAACATCGATTACTGGAACTAGAACGTTTGAAAAACGAAATTAATGATGCACTCAAAGCTGGACGAATTGTAAAAGCAAAAAGATTGCGTGCAGCTCATATACTGCCAATCATTAAGATGAATGCGTCAGATATTAGTCGAGATGAAATAAGTCAACATCTATTAAGTGATAGTTTTGTTGATACATCTCGCGATAAAGATACCTCGGTAATGAGTATCGATCATCATCAATCATTGCAATCATTGAAAGTAACGCCAATTCATCAATTCATTAATATGACACCTGAAGGTACGATACCCGAAACGTTTGTTCATAGTGAACCGTTTTTCGATGAGGATACGCTTAATAATCACAGTCAGAGTAGAATGACTATTACTAGTTATCGAAATAATAACCCGACAAATGAAATGTTGTATCTAAATACAACCGACGATCTTTTTCAGGTAATCGAGCTCTAAAAAAATATCTATTCTCTTAAACTATGACAACAAAAATGCTTCTCAGGTGTGCTTACGATTTCTTCTTGACTTGACAAATATAACAGTTCAATTCTTATTCCTATGACCGGAATGACCTCGTGAATAGAGCAGAATTAAAACTTCAAAGTATAGAAATCCGATTGCCCACATAAAAAAATATTTATCACAAAATTTTGGTGAACTCCTGAAGATGTTAATTTTTGAATACTTACAGGTGACGGCACCGTAACGATGCAACTTGCAATGACTTCTTGCATAAATTCCATGAGAAACCATTATTTTGTGATAAACATTTTTTTATATGGGTAATCTGATTTCTGTACTTTAAGGTTTTAATTCTGCCCTGCGCACAAGGTCATTCCGGCCGTATGATTATTTTAAACTAACGCGAAAAAGGAGACTTGTTCCTTTTTAAAAAGGCACATTGTCAATGAACATTTATATTCATTTAATGTGCCAAGATCATAGTGACCGCTACTATATAATTTGAATATGGTTCATACACTCATCGATACTATTCAAAATGAAGTTTCGGAGAGCACGGTATTTGAAGAACAGAATCGAGATGCGAACGACGTTTAATGCGAACTCATCATTTTTACTTCTTCTTAGCTTATTTCTTTGCTAAAACTATTTATTGCATCTACAAATTTTGTAACTATAATTCTTACATTGATCATCCAGTTGAACTGATACGAAACCTTCTAACTTATATTTTTCATCTTTTCTAGGCTACGTCTGAAAAATTATTACCGTCCGACCGAAATTCTACAAAAGATCTGACAATTCGATCAATAAAATCAAAAAAAACATATCATCTAAAGACAGGCATATCTAAATTACCGATAGTTAAAGAAAAGTCAACAGAACCTCTACATCATCGGCAAGACATGCTTCGTAAAATAAATACTTCAAGAGGTCTATCAAATATCAAACGAGTCGCTTAAGAGGATTTTTTTCGCTTAAGGCTTTCTTCTTAGCTTTTATATTTTATTTTCTTCTTCGCTTCAACAAGAGAAAAATTTTTCTCTCAAAATCGCAGTTTGTATATAAATTCGCTCTCTTTATTAATTGTAAAGATCTGTAAACGATCAGCGACTCAGTCTATATTAACCATATAATGGATACCATGCATTGTGTAATTGTCTTGGTTGATCAATCATTCGCGACCAATCTGATTCGAATCGCGTTTTTTCCCCAAGAACAATTGATGCACAACTAATAGATTCTTTCGAAAGAGCACTAACACTAAAATCAATATATAAATTGACATTTTTTATATCATCTTTTGGAATTGAACTGGTTATGATATCATTTATTTCTCGTTCTTTCTCTTTGACATCATCAGATATCTCAACGGACTCAAATTTTTCTTGATAAAATCGTCGTCCATGATGGAAAAATGTACAGGTCAATGTAACATCTAAACAGAACAAATATATATATTAGAGATTAAACAAACCAAACACTTAAGGAGGTAACAGGAGTAAGACAGATACAGAACAGCAGAGTTATAATTACATTGTACTATATTTAGATTTATCGTTATTAACTTCATTAGCTGGAATATCTAAAAAAAATGTTTGTTTGCTCTTATCTTCAGAGAGTATGTCTGTTCTATGTGTCTTTCTTGGCTGTCAATATTACAAATCAGAAGAAGTTGATTCTATTTGAACAAATACTAGTCCAAAACAAAAATCTTATACTCTACTACATAAGGATCTGACTTACCAGCTCTACTATTTTGTTCTACTTTACAAAACCATCTTAGTTTTAATAAAGTAATTGTCAGTCGCTCAGCTGTTGGTAAATAACTAAGCGCCAAATAGATTTCACCATACGAGATCTAAAATAGATTAAATTTCTTAATTTTAGAAATTTTTTTTAAACAACATACTATAATCTTGGTCAATTTATAAGATCAATCATATTCAAATAGTATATAACCAAGTGAACAACTATGATTAGCTCAAATAAAGTACGCCAGTGCTTTAATATAGCTCACAGAGACTGATCTCACATATGTACCGTATTTTTATTCTTAATAGAGAAAAATAAATCCTTAATCGAGTTACGACTGAATAAAATTGGATGAAATTAACTATTCAGCTTGTCCACGTACCTAGAGACTTCGCTGATCAAGTTTTTGAAAAAATTATTTTAGAGTAGAACTGAAAGGAGCATATCACTAGATGCAGTTTTTGGTGCTGATTACGAATTTCACATGATTTTTTTAAAAAGGGAAATTTTGGCACAAAAAATCCAGTTTTATATTTTTTGAAAACTGTATTTTCAATTTCCGCACCTAGACACTTTTCCTAATAAAAATGGAAGGCTACAGTAATCGACAGAGAATTCGATTCTCTACAAGATGGTATGTTTCTTTAAAATAAGCTTTTTAATAAAGTTTTAAGTTTTAAGATTCTCACACAATTCTAAGAAAGTGAAAACATTTTTTCAGCTTTATTTTTCACGTTAGTCTATATTAGATGCCTAAAACTAAGTCCGATGTGAAAATGAAATCCTCTGATCAATTTTTAGTGCTCCAAACTTTGTTGGGAAAAAAGTGTGTCACAGTGTCACGAAAAATGTCATAACATCACGACGATAAAACACAATTATTGAGAGATGGAAAGCTCAATGAAAAGATTCTTTTTTAGCAAATCAGTAGCTCGTTTATTCCTCTACAAACTTTGCTTGAGGCGCTTTTTATTAGTTCTTCTAAATTCGCAGCAAATTAGTTTTTAATGAGAAGAACTTCGAATTTAGGGCCTTTTTTTGTCACAGCATCACGCGCCGAAAAACGGTAAAAATTCAAGTCTTTAACCACATACCTTTATTTTTATATCAAAAGTAGAGTATGCCGAACTGCGTCTAATGGCGCAAGAACGAAGTTTCTAGCTCTTACACTTTTTGAGAAAAGCTCAAATTACTGTGTCAAAAATATCACAGCGTCACTCTTGGACTAGCCGTATAAGCTCACTTTCGGAAATTGTTTGAATTCTATTTGTTGTACTTGTTCATTAGGTTTGCAAAATGATTTAACATTGAGATTTTGTAAATGGATCCATTGTTCAAACATTAAATCTTGAATTCCATATCGATCACAACAATACAGTAGAATTCTCATAGACGAAGCAACAACTGTATTTGCCATAGTAGTACTATTTGTCTTTGTTGACTCGAAGTTGAATTGTAAGTGCTCATTACAGATAATTACCCCATTTGCTATGCGTGACAAATGTTTCGTTACTTGCTCTTGTTGTTGTGAATGTTTTGTTGACCATTGAAGACTTAGACAATGTTTCTTATAAGCATCTTTGAATTTTTTTAATAATTTATTTGTTAATAATTGAATTTTTATGAAATAATCACCTTGTTCACCGAATGCCGGATGATAGGGAAAATGATCGCAATTAGAAATATGAACGTTGAATACATTCTTTTCTAAATCATAATAGTATCGAAGTTGAATTTGAGCATAAGGAGGTGAATACAGATTAGACAATGAAACAGATGAACGACGAGAGTCAAATCGAAACATTCTACCATCCATTGAGCTGTCATTCTAAAAGAGAAATTCGACTTTTATTAACACTGCAGTCTTTAGCAAACCTGGCTTTGAGAGAATCAATCAATATCTTACTCCAACATGAATGAAATAAGTTTATGGTTATTCAGTAATATAAGAAAACTTTTTATGGATTAATATGTTGTTATCTTGACATTACTGTCGATATATTGGCAAACTGAAGTGACGGGACATGTATGAATTGAGCACACACTACATTGAGCACGTTGAGAAATGAAAGTTTTTTTAATGTAAAATTCCTTTGACTAATGAGAATTGATGTATCATCAAGTTATGTTATAGTAGTCATCATATATGTACGTAGTCTACTTACTGAAGATGAATATTTCCCATCACTATCCGATGTACCATAAGAGTGTTTTCTACCTAATTCCAAATATTTGTGTGCTTGTAATTTTTGTATTGCATACTCATCCACTAATATTGATTCATATTTGTGTGGTAATAACATACCATTGTTAGCCGATGTACATATAATTAATGGTTCTTTGTCTTAGAAAAAAAGTAACACAAATTAAATTTTGTATTTGAGTCGCTTGTATCACACGTTTAGAAATAGTTTCCTAGATGAATCATTGTGTACTCTCAGTTTGAAATCAAAGTAATAGTTTTGAAAAAATGCTATCCGCACGATGTAGTTCACAATGACGAAGCTCAGAATAGAGCAATGGTTATAAGAATCCATGTATTGTTAGTGATCCATAAAATCGAAAAACAACAATATCTGTCTGAGAGATGCATTTGAATATAGTTTTTTGTTGAAATCATCAGTAGCATCGACTACAGATTAGCTCTATATATCCACAAATTAGATTTAGATCCATTAAATTATGATCTATGTAAAGATTAAACATTCGCGTATTTGAATAAAATTATACTACTTACTTCTATTTTTTTTCTTGCAGTCTCAGAGGACATTGTGAACATACTAAACATAGGAGTGTAAAACCGACCACCGACACAAAACATGACGCAATTAAAACAATAATTAATCGATCATTTTCAGATAAGTCTACCTCCCACGATAATAAAGTACCAAGACGATCTAGATAATCGACCTCACCCATATACTACACGCATATTACACTACATATTTGACTATTTTTTAACATTTTCGTTAAATCAATCAGTTATTTTCACACGAACAATGACAAAGACATATTTTTTTGTTGTTTTTTTATGCTCTTTTTTTTCTGTAACATGGCACCAACAGCTGTGTGTTATGCTCTTTATATTAGTATTCTATACATATTTGTTAACTTGTTTTTTGAGAAAAACTATGATAAAAGAATCGTATACTAATTTCATATTTCATTCATATTGTTATTGCTTTATTTCACTAGCCAGGTCGTAAGCGTTCCTGGCTATGCTGAGCTGAATTGTAAAAAATTTTCAAGAAGGAATACAATTTAGCATCGTAATAATCGTTTCAGAGAAATTTTGAGTGAAATGATGCTTTCGATCCATTAAAAAGTACATTTTAGTTGCTTTCCACTCAGTATACTGGTCGAAAAATTCTAGTATTAGTATCAGTGCTTTTGAGATAAACATCGATACAGACAGCACCGACTCATCAATAAAAATTTTGGCTAGAGAACGATCGTTATAGTCTAAGTACTTTTCAAAATTAAATAACGAGAACTATTTTTAAAAATATGAGTTTCTCTTATTTATCTCAATGTTTTTGATATATTTACTTTGAGATTCTACTACGTTTACGCATCATAATCGATAAAACTGTTCTATCACAGGGCCGTAGCCAGGGGGTAGGCAAACAGGGCACGTGCTCACGCCTTGAGATTTTACTTCAATGCATAATATATACTAAATTTATAGGTGATAAATGCCGTGTGGAAATAAAACACAAGAAAAAGTGCTCGACTAAGCTTTAACATGGAAATTCAGACTAGTAAAGATGGAACTTTTTTGTAGATGCCCACCCCTTATGTTCTGGCTACGACCCTGTCCTATCATAGTACATTAGATCTGAAAACAATATTCAAAGTTTTTTGTTTGTTTTTTCAATCAACCGTTGAATTTACTATGTAGATGATTGGAAGAAGTGAATACAAGACATTCTGCAAATATGACTCAGGTACACTTTGAGAGTTCTAGATCATAACTCATCTCATTTTGTCTATGTGTATACCAAACTCATTCAAATGTTTCTTTAACTATCTAACTAAATTATTGATCACAATCTCTTATAGGATATTACCAATAAGACACGAAACTTTTCCAAAAACATTCATCTTTCATTCTGTTTTCAACATGAATTTATTTAGAAAAAAATAGCATTTATTTTATAAAATGTATATGCTTTTTAAGAAATTTAAGAAGCGAGTTAAGGAAAAAAAAGAAAAAGGATACATCTTACATAATAAATAATACAAAGCGATGTATTTACAAAGCAATAGAAAAGCAAAAACAAAATTCACCGTAGATATGCAAAAAAGAGACAAATACACACACTTACAAAAAAAAATATTAAATTGTATTCGGGGACGAAATTAATATTGCTTAAAAAGGCGTAGATTAAAAGGAAAAGGACGTTCGATTTAAAAAAATACAAAGACAAATAGACAGATATTTATCACTTAATATCACCAAGGTCAACACTCACGAACTAAAAGCATAAAATAGAAAAGTTTGCCGTTGGAGAATAATCAAAACACTTACGTTTGACGAAGTGCGGCCAAACGTTTTGTAAGCTCATCCTAAAAAAATATGAAACGTAAATAAGAGTGGCAGTTCAATTACTTGAGTAGTAAAACAAAAATTATCCTAAAATCTACTATAGTCAATCTCATCGCCAGCAACGACTACAAACTTTTTGATCATCCGAGAGGTGAGAATTAGTTTTCGTGTTTTATGAACAAATAATAGTGCTCTCTTACTTGTTCGGTGAAAGCCGTTGATGTTCCAAGTTGTGATGTCGTTGGTATATTCATGTTTAATTCAAGACCAGCTTCATCCGCTATTTCTTGTAATAAACTTGCTACTTTATCAGCTGGTGTCAACGTGGTTGTTGTCGATTGCATTGAATCATCCATTACTTTTGTCTTGACATCTAAATCCTCAAATTCTCTTTCTAATGCTTCCATCGTTTCTGCTGTCTAAAATTATAAATAAACATAACGAATAAACACAACAAGATAAACGGATTATGTTGTTCACTTAACATGTCAAATAGATTATTCTTTAGACAACTGTTATATCCAATAATAAACAAGAGATTATCTTACCGTTTTTAGATCCATATTTTTTGTCACTCGTGCCATAGTTGCAACAGTCTTTTTCAATCCCATAGCTAACTAAAAAAAATAAAAACACATTTACGAGTGATTTAATTAAGAAGAGGGAAATTTTTTACTTTTTGATTTGCTGAAGCTGCTTGAACTCGTGACTGAATCGAATCAACTCGTGCCGCTAAACGTTTACAATTAAGTGATTCTGAATGATGTCGAATAGCGTTTTCAGCATGTATTTTAGCTGCTTCCATATTTCCTTTAGCTAATTCTGTTTTTATTTTTCCTTTTTCAGTACGTTCAGCTTTATCATGTTTGATGCCTTCACGTTCCAATTGTTTTGTTTGCATTTTGAATTGAAACGCTAAATTATCTGTAAAAACAAAATGATAAGTACAAAATACAAAATGTGAATATCAATAACATACCCGACATGATTTGTTTTATAAATAAGAATAATAACAAAAATAAATCTGAAACAATGATTAAATCTTTGCTAGTACTTAATAGAATTTCAAATAACATTGAGAAATGATATTTTCTAGATACATTCTTGATTTTTATAGGTTCAGAACGACGATAAGATTTACATATTAAATATATGGTCTTTCTCAGCTAGCTGAGTTTCTTCTACTTTAGAGAGTAAGAAAAACAATAAGTAATAGGAAAAAAGATTTATTTACAAATATTTGAATATTTGACAAAAAGCCACAAACACAAAACCAAAAGAAAAAACATCTGACAACCAAAATGACTAAATAAAAATCAGAAAATAACTGTTATACGTCCTATCGTACAACAAGAAATAATACAAAAAGACTAATACCAAGACAAGTAATTGCAAATGCAAATAACGTATGATAAGTGTCATTCATTTTATCAGCATCGTCAGTAAAATTTTCAAGGGATTCCTAAAAATAATACAAACAGAAAAAACGGTAAATGAATCTGTGATGAATGATACGAGAGAGATTTTTTATGAATTTTATCTAAGCAAGAAATTCATGTATAGCCCTTTTAGAATCTAGAGGATACGATAATTGTTAATTATTGACGAAAGACTACTGACTGAATAGTACGCGATTTATATTTATTAGTAACGAGAGAAAAACATTTCTTTTATTCAACTAATAACAACGCCATTAATCTGATGTTCACTAAAGCGTTCTCTAGATAGCCTTTATCATTGGCTTTTAGCTCACTACTTATGTGAAAATGCCCGATAGTAAGTCTTTCTCATTGATAAGGTTAAAGCAACCATAACCCAGGTTCATGATTATGACCATCCTATACGGTCGTATATGTCAAATTACGACGACATAACTTGATGTATACTATAGTATTTAGTCGTATTTTTTATTAAATCCAGCCAACGTATTACGTCAGCCGTTACGATCATCGTATTTCAACGTAAACGACGTCGTTTACGATGGACGTAATACGTTGGCCGGGTTTACGTCAAAATATGACGAAATACTATAGTATATGGTCGTGAATCTTTGACCTGGGCAGTCTTCTAAATATCACAAGTGAGAAAATATCTATCTTACCCATCCTCCATTATTCATAATCCATTTTGCTAATCTACTTGCTACATATTGTCCAGTAAGCAATCCAATTCGTTGTGCTTGTTCTGCATCTTGTTTTTGAATTCTTTGTATTAAAAATTGAGCAAATGAATATAATGTAATAATTCTTCCCCATGTTATTTGTTTATCAGCAAACAAATAATTATACATATGTAACAACTTTTGACAAAATACATTACTGATAGTTAGATTAGTGTGTGTTGTTGTTGTTGCTATTTGTTGACATTCTAAATCGAATTTTCGTGCTAAACCAGTAAAGAGAATTTCATGACGATATTTTAAACGTTCAACATGACGAGACATTAACTGGCAATGGTGTGATATTTTACTGTTGGCGGAAGAATATAATGGAGAACATGATGATAGATATGAGGCAATATGAATAGCTTCTTTTTGAATAGATTTTAAGACTTGAGGATTTTCGATAGGAGATAAAGTAGACATTTTAATCTGAAAGTGAAACCTCAGTCTACTTTATATAAAACATACTCCTGTCATTTACGTCAGATCAGTGAGTCACTTTTTCACAAAAAAAAGAACGCTCTAATGTGACATATGTGTCATGATTCTGAACCAATCACTAAGTAAACAAGAGACAAGCTATTTTTAACTTTTAGATACGCTTTTAAGAGCTTTTGGCTAAAAACAACGACTTACTCAATTTTTAATAGAGCAAATTTTAAAATGGTAAAATACGAAGAAAACATCTGTAAAAGAGGGAGCTACACGTGTCTACGAGTCGTGTGGTCACTGTCATTGCTGGGGCGCCCTGATCGACTCGAATATGCTAACGTAACAAAGGATGAGAAATATTTTCACTGCTCTAAGAAAATATATACAACAGGTTTTGGGCAACCGAAATGAAGAAAGTATTATTAATATGACTAAAACTGCTTGTAATTGGTGGAAAGCATTGCGTGTGGTTTACCAGCTGTTTATTTCTTGCTATGGGTTATGTTATTCGGCTTTCGCCGTTTACTCTGCAACTCGATTGAGGGTCTTAGTCTGTAGGCTTTTACTCAATAACGGCAACAATAATTCTAGAAAAAAAAGAAATGCAGGAATTTTAATTCCAGTGTTACTTTCTCTAAAATTGTTGTCAAGACAAATTGTGATTTTTCCAACACAATATTGGTTCAGCATTTAAGGCAAAAGCACTGAACCGTATCACAATCTATCGTGATTTCTGGGTGGTTGAACTGAACGTTGTGAAGACGATCAGATTACTTAGACACACACGAACACAAAACGGGGGGAACAAAGAACTTTTCAGAGCGATACATGCAGAAACGTACGTAATTTTTCAATCAAGCATTGTTTTTTTTTAACTGCCAACTTTAAGAAAATACACTGCTACGAAATATAATTCTTGACAGGACAATAAGTGCTCCTGATATTTTTATTTTTTTCTATTTAGCAGAATGTCCACAGAAGAGTATGGGAAGTCTACATGATTTCTATTTACGAAAGATCTATGGATGCCATTATCTTGATCTGAAGACATTTTTCATCGTTTCTGGAGAACAGAAATGTCATGATCGTGTGTATGTTTAGTGAAAAAAATATATTTGTACTCTGTATGATCATGTTTTAATGCGAGGAGTCTTATTGAGATATATGACGTCAATGAGTCTCTCCAAATAATTGAGTCGATAGAAGCTGTTGGTAACCAGTATGTGCGATTCGATATCGACATACTTTTAAATTTCATCAAATTTTTTTTATTTATGAAGCTTCTTTTGAATATTTTAGAAGATCATTTCAAATATTTGAATTCTTTTTGAATTTGCTCTTCGGTTATCCCGAGGATTGCCTTGTTTAAAACAAGAATTTCGACAGTTCACTTTAGAATAGACCTGTAACAGTTCCAGCTCATAAGTTCAGCTCATTTGAGCGAAAGAACTGTTTAACACTTCTTTTGAAAGGAGCTGATATGTTTGAACAGCTCTTTGAAAGGAGCTGATATGTTCGAACAGCTCTTTGAAAGGAGCTGATATGTTTGAACAGCTCTTTTGAAAGAAGCTGATATGTTCGAACAGCTCTTTGAAAGGAGCTGTTATGTTTGAACAGCTCTTTTGAAATTTTTTCAACGACTACTGCTAAAGCTTTCACGCTGAAGCAAGGGCTTGCTCAACTCGAAGCGCTGGAAAGGAACGGTCATACATTTGCGTCATTCTGGAGAAAACATTCAACTTTACTTCCAATATTGAGCCAGATGGCACGTCGATTCGGTCCTATACTCGCAACCTCAGTCCTCAGTGAGAGCGCATTCTCAATCGCAGGCTATGTTGCTCGAAAAACACGGTCTTCTCTCTCAGCTAAAAACTTGAAATATTCAATGTTCCTAAAAGATAAACTTTAATCTTTTCTTTAGTCTGCTTTT